AAAGAAAACATAAAAAATGGGCCCTACATAGACTTTATTTATTTTATTTTATTTTATTTTATTTTTGCATTTAGCTACATAAACAGGCTAAAGCCCTTAAGTTGCAGCAGATAAGATTTTTTAAATGTTGTGTTCTATGTAAGCAAATTTTAGTTATTTTAACAATCTTTTTTAAATAAAAAGTTAAGAAAATTTGTCAGAAGATTTTTATAGTTTACAACAAAAAGAAATTTTTAGTCAATATTTTATGAGGAAATTATGCGTTTGAGAAAAAGGTCACTGGTTAATGCTCTCTGGGAGCAAGCTCCATGTTACTCCCTCCCCCAAAGGACATTCCAGTGACGTAGAAAAAAACTCAAACATTAGAATGATTTAATGTATCCGATTTTTCACGGATTATTTGCTTTAATTTTGCGTCAGTTGGTTGATGTGAGAGCGCGATTCTATCATCAAATAATGTGTTGTAAGTCAGCATGAGTCTATTGAAGACTGAATATTTTCCAATGTCTGTTCTGCTTTGTGTCGTTTTAAATACTTTTTGATTTCTTGTTGCACTATCTTGAGTGAATTTGAAGTGATGTAGGAATGTGCATGAGTCAATTTGATCATTGAATGACTTCGTAATAAACTTAACGTCGGCTAGTTTTCTTCTTGATTCCAGGTTCTCGATTTTCAGTAGTTTTTCGATGTCATCATAATTTATTTCATCTTTAAGATTCTTTTTCAGACATTTAAATGCGACAAATCTTAGAAATTTGTGTTGAATTCTGTTCAGTTTGGTGATTTGCACATTCGTATATGGGCACCAAATTACTGAAGCGTACTCGATGATACTACGAACCAAGCTGTTGTAAAGAGTGACAAATGTGATGGTGTCATTGAAATATTTGCATGTTCTGATAATGAAGCCCAGCATTCGGCGTGCCCTTCCACAGATTGAGTCCACGTGATCGTTAAAGTTCAACTTGTGATCATAAATAACTCCCAGATCTTTTATTGAGTTTTTTCTTTCGAGTTCATGACCGTCAATCTTATAATTATTAAAGATTAAGCTCGATTGTCGTTTTGTAAAACTTGTTACAAAACATTTCTTCGCATTCAATGCTAAATTATTCCTTTTGGCGTAATCTATAAGACGATCAATGTTCTCTTGAAGTATTTTTATGTCCTTTCCGTTATTAATCTCTTTATAAATCTTTAAATCATCTGCGTAGATGGAAAATTTTATATCCTTGAAAATATTTCATAATATGACATAAGAAACTAATTATCACTTATCTGACATCAGAAAAAAAAAACATTGTAAAAAGCAACCGCAATGAAGAAATGAGAACGAAGGTTGTAAAATGCTTGCCGGCAATACATGCACGATTTGTGTGAAAAACTGCATACCGATAGTGAAAAAACCTCAACAGCACACCGCTAAACAATTTTTTACTTTTCTCTTCAATAAAACTCACACATTCTAATGATGTTTAAACTGTGAATACTATGCTGGTACAAACATCATTACAGACTTCTTAATTATCACGGTTGTAAAATATTTTTATGAAATATTCGACAGCTTTCGGTTCTCAGTTCCGTCAAAAGCGTTAAAGTTAGCTGTTGGGTATTCCACAAAGCTCTCAGAAAATTACCTAATTTAATATAAAAAGTTAGCATTTTACTTGTATCATATTGATCATTTAATTTGATTGTGTAATCGATCGTTAAAGTTCTATATCAAATTATTAATCATGAGAGAAATTGTGCATTTACAAGTTGGCCAATGTGGAAACCAAATAGGATCAAAGGTGTGTAAAAAAAATATTTTGTGGTTACTCACTAATTAAATTTGGATGTGATGGCGTTGACAATTTTTTTCTATTACAATTTACTTATATTTTATCGTTTTCACGTGATTGATTTAATGAAGTGGAAATTCCATCATCAAATTAAGATTACAAAATTGAATTTCATGATGTACGATCATTAATTACGATTTCCATTTTAACTTTTCTCATGGGAAAAATTTTAAGAATCTCAGCGCATTAGGCACACGACCTATAAATAGAATACCAATACAAGGGCACAATGTGTATGATATTTATGCTAATATTTCAACAGCATTCTCAAACCTAGATTTGAATCATTAAAAGTAATTGCTTTTCTGTGAATTGCAGTTTTAAGTTTCAAAACTACTTGAACAATTTCAAAACTCAAAAGTCTTGTCATTTTCTTTCGTGTTCAAATATTTGATAATCTTCACCAATTCTTCTGATAATTCACCAATTCATGTGTAGATATTTCCTCTACACATCCAAACATTTAGTTAGTTATTACATCTTCTTTCATTATGATCGCGACGTCTACACATTAATACGAGCGGCAAACGACACTATTGTAGTATTGCTTATGCTCAATGTTCTCTAACACCTTCAACTACTGACCTTCTTCTGGGGGTTTTGTATTCATTTAGAAGAAGAAACACTAGGAAGCAAGAGAAATGATTAATGAAGAATTTTTAAGTTAATGTTTCCTTTTTATTCTCTTTTTTACATATCACACTTTATGACTTTAAAGGTTGTATTAATCAATGTTTAGATATGCGTTTGCTAGCAACAACATCGTTGAATGTATTAAACTTTGTTTCTTTTGATTATTCTAGATAATTTAAGTAATGACTAGGTGGGTGTATGATACATTTTCCATTTTAGGAATGCTTTTTGAAACGATAAGAAACATTAAAGATGTGAAATCACGAATTATTCTTATCATGTTTTTGATAATTTTTTTTACAAGCGCGAATGAAGTGAAAAGTTGTTGATAAAAAATTTAGCAATCGATCATTTTTCGTTTATTTTTAGTTCTGGGAAATTATTTCGGATGAACATGGAATCGATCCAAATGGCCATTATCATGGTGACACCGATCTTCAATTGGAACGCATCAACGTGTATTACAATGAAGTAAATGGTAACAGATATGTGCCACGTTCAGTTCTTGTCGACTTGGAACCAGGTACGATGGACTCAGTTCGTTCGTCACCATATGGAAAACTTTTCCGTCCCGACAACTTCGTCTTTGGACAAAGTGGTGCTGGTAACAATTGGGCGAAAGGCCATTACACAGAAGGTGCTGAACTTGTTGATTCCGTTTTGGAAGTTATTCGTAAAGAATCAGAGGGATGCGATTGTCTTCAGGGCTTTCAGTTGACCCATTCACTTGGAGGTGGAACTGGTTCAGGAATGGGAACATTATTGATTGCTAAGATTCGCGAAGAATATCCCGATCGTATTCTCAGCACTTACAGTGTTATTCCATCACCGAAAGTATCCGATACTGTCGTTGAACCTTATAACGCAACACTCTCAGTTCATCAATTGGTTGAGAACACTGATGAGACTTTCTGCATTGACAATGAAGCTTTATATGATATTTGCTTCCGTACATTAAAGTTGACATCACCATCATATGGAGACTTGAATCATTTGGTTTCAGTGAGTTTTTATTGGAATAATTAAGTCATTGCATCATATTAATTTAATTTATTCAGGTCACAATGTCGGGTGTAACTACATGCTTACGTTTCCCCGGTCAATTGAATGCTGATTTAAGAAAATTAGCTGTGAACATGGTTCCATTTCCACGTCTTCATTTCTTCATGCCTGGTTTTGCCCCATTAACTGCCAAAGGCTCACAGCAATATAGAGCTTTGACTGTTCCCGAGCTTACTCAACAGATGTTTGATGCTAAGAACATGATGACTGCATGTGATCCTAGACATGGTCGCTATTTGACAGTTGCTGCAATTTTCCGTGGCCAAATGTCAATGAAGGAAGTTGACGAACAGATGTTAAGTGTTCAAAATAAAAACAGCAGCTATTTTGTTGAATGGATTCCCAACAATGTGAAGGTTGCTGTTTGCGATATTCCACCAAGAGGATTAAGAATGGCAGCAACATTCATCGGCAACTCAACTGCTATTCAAGAAATTTTCAAGAGAATTTCAGAACAATTTACTGCAATGTTCCGTCGAAAGGCTTTCTTACATTGGTATACTGGTGAGGGCATGGATGAAATGGAATTCACAGAAGCTGAAAGCAATATGAACGATTTGGTGTCAGAATACCAGCAATATCAAGAAGCAACAGCTGACGAAGATGTTGAATATGAAGATGGAATCATCGAGGAGGAACATGAACAACAAGAGTAATAAAATAGAAATTCTTGTATCAATTTTTGTCGCCAAAGGCTTGAATAAATTTTACTACAAGACAAATTACAAATAAAATTAATTTTTTCACCCGCATTTATCTGATTGATGTTTTTTTGTTATTGATTTAATCATGTCACAAAAGTTACGCTTGACTTCCTTTAAGAAGATTTAAGTTTCTTTTAAGTGAAGCTTCTACAAGAAGGTTGCACAAGTATGTTGTATGTTTCATTTGCTTACAAATTTTTATCAAATCGCCCATGCAAGGTCTTTTTCTCGCTTTTTTCTCCCTTTTTTACTCCTTTTAAATTCATGATTAGAATTAGATATGAATTCATGTCAGATATTATAAATTCATGATCAGATTTGAAACAATTTATTTTAAAATAGGTAAATACACATCATGTTTTAAAAAATAATAACCAAGCATTTCATTGAATTCAAATTTAATGTTTTTAAAGAATTTCGTAGACAATGCTTGCAGTCTGAAACTTTTTAAGTCTGCGAGAAAATCCTTCAATTGTTTTATTCTTTTAAATTCAAAAGTATAGATAAGATTGTGGAGTAAACAGTGACTTTGAATTTAAGAATATTTTGGCAAGAATGGAAAATCCCAACCTTCAACCTAGACATACTTAATGGTCTAAATCAAAAATAATTTCATTGATAACAAAAAAGATAAGAAAATGCAAGACCAGGGGTCGGAAGCTTAACGATTTTTCGCAAAAAGCTTCTAAGCTTCCGCTTCGGCTTCTCAAAATTCTGAAAAAGCTTCCGCTTCGGCTTCCCAAAATTCTGAAAAAGCTTCCAAGCTTCCGCTTCGGCTTCTCAAAAAGTTGAGCTTCTTTAAGCTTCCNATGGTCTAAATCAAAAATAATTTCATTGATAACAAAAAAGATAAGAAAATGCAAGACTTCGATCAAATATGAATTTATTTATTTATTTTTTATAAATTTGAAAGAATGAATCCAAGAAACTCTGATACTCTTGCATACACCGTTGGATAATCCAAAGCACAATAATATCCCCAGGAAACGATACCAACATGAACTCCATTGTAGACCAAAGGACCTCCAGAATCACCTGGAGAATAAAAAAATATAAATTGTAGGAAATATTTAATCTTACAAAAACTCCTCAAACCTTGACATGCATCGCGACCACGTTCTCCAGCACAAATATTGGTATCCAATATTTCTTCGTCCGTATAAATTGCCTGACATTCTTCATTCGTCATAGCAGGTACTCTGGTATTCTGAAGGATATCTGGATAATTTGCTGTGCCCCATTCTAAATCTCCCCATCCACTAATGCTGCATTGTCTTCCTGAAGCGACATCGAAGTTTGGGACAGGAAGTGGAAGCGGTTGTCGAGTGTTATCAAAAATTAAATTTTGAATTAATTTCAACACAACAATGTCATTTTCAAGTGTCCAATCATCATAATCGGGATGTTCAATAACTTGGGAAACATCAATCAAATCTGTTGATCTGATGTCATTTGTTCCAGAAAGAATTTGGAAATTGCTGTGATCACGAGCACTTTAAACACAAAAATTAATGAAAATGTATAAACATAAATTTGTGATAACTTACAAAGTGCAATGAGATGCTGAAAGAACAATTCTTTGATTTAAAATTGATCCACCACAAGTATGTCGTCGTTGATAAAACAGAGCAATTTGATAAGGATGATCTTCTATTCTTGCATCACTTCCACCAACAATTCTTCCACCACGGTTTAATTTTTCTCCAGCGATATTCTGGGCATTCGGTTGGTAACGATGACGAGGCACAGAATTTGCTGAAACTTTTTTCAAAATTAAATACTTTGGAAATGAATGAAAGAAAATCAAACGAACCACAAGCAAAAACTGTTAACAAAACTCCTACTAGCTTCCACATTGTATCAAGTAATGTCCAAAACTTTATTAAAGAATTTTGAGTTTTTCTGTCAACTTATAGTAAAATCGCTTCCTTCTTATCTTATCAATCCATGAAGTTTATCAGAAAATCTCTGTTAATAGATTTAATTGATTAAGTTATCTTAATCTCACTTAATCTCAAGTAAAAATATTTCAATTGTTTCGATGTTTGATTGATTTTGCGATTGAAAGTTTTATTCATTTATAAGTTTTTCAAGGATTTAATGAATTATAAGAACATGTGAGCTGCAATCCAGTCTAAGAATTCTGAAACTCGAGTATATATTCCAGGAAAACCATCATAAGCACAACGATAACCACTTGACACGACTCCAACAACGAAATTTTTATGTGTCATTGGACCACCAGAATCACCTAAATAAATCACGTAAATTAGTTTTAATTAGCTTCTTTAAAACTTTAGTGCATAATTTACCTTGACAACTATCGAGACCTTCAGCGCCAGCACAAATTTTATGATCACGAATGTTGCTATAGGCTCTTGCACATTGTTCATTGGAAACCGCAGGAACATAAACTTTCTGAAGACGTTCTGGTGACGAGCCTTGCCATGATAAAGCTCCCCACCCACTCACCAACAATGCATCTCCATCTGGAACTTTGTAACCTTTTGGAGGTAATGGAATTGACCAAACTTTGCTATTGAATGTTAAACGCTTTTCAAGTTTGACGATAGCAATGTCATTGTAATAACCACTTGGTTGATAATCTTCGTGAAGGAAAAATTTTTTAACGTCAATAATTTGGCCACCTTGCGATCTCAAATCAGAACCAGCACGAATTTGGTATTTTGATGTTTCCCGACCATAAATGCAATGAGCTGCTGTAACAATTGCATCTTGACTAATAATAAAACCACCACATGAATGTCCCCAAACACCATCAGTATCATTCCCAACAAATCTACGAAGTGAAACTTGATATTTCGCATCTTCAATGTACGCGTCAATACCACCGACTATTTTGGGTTGCTTGTCACCAACAGAGAAATCAGGAACAAATGGGATATCTAAAAGGGAATAAAGAAATAAAAAAATTGCTTCCTTGATTTATCTTTTATATGAAACTTTACTATCATCAAAGCATTGAATCAAACCCACTAGACCGATAAGAGATAAAAACGCCAATTTCAACATCATTTTGTTCCTTTTACTTATTCGTTTTAAATGAAACTGAATTGCTTGCTGTTTAATTCATATTTATACTTGAAAACCTTCTTAAATAAATCTAATCATGAAATTATTTACTTGCGATATACGATTGCTGATATTTAGTATTGAAACCTATTCATACTTCAAGAATTGATTGATTAATCAAGTTGTGAGATTGAAAGTTCTTCAAAGAAGCTTTTGATAAAAACACACAGATGTTCAAACGTTTACAAGATAGTATAAAATGAAAACAGTTTTGTGGTTTGTGGTAAATTATAATTTTTTATTGCATTGGAAAAGTTAAAGAAAAACTTTGAAATAAATTCATTGACAATAATTTTTCTAATTAGATTTGACCTCGGCTACGAATTGACCCTATCAAAAGAAAATTTTAAGAACTAATTTATGATTTATGTTAAGTCTTGTAGAATATTTTATTGACTAAAGTTTTATATCTACTTTAATTATTTATGAAATATTCTTGAAAATTGTATACAAATAAATATGAAAAATAAACTTGTGAAAACATTTACTGTTTCACTTCACCAAATGTAATATTCTTAGCATGGCCATTTGCAGGCCCGTTGATTTTAGACGATCCGTTCTTTAATATTCCATTCAATGTTGATGTTTCATATTTCTTAATGTTAAGCTTTGAAACGTCGTATGGCAACTTATTGCCATTTAAGTCTTTATTCAGATTATTGTTGATATGCATGATGTTTCCGGGCATTTTCTGGTCCGATTTCAGCAAATCATCCTTAAGAAAAATAAAAACAATATAAAGAAATTTTCATGGATTAAATGACAAATAAACGCACCAATGAATCGGTTCGACGTCGAAGATTTGACCGTGACAAAGTCTTTTCAAGTTCATTCTTCAACTTTGTTGACATATCTTCATTCATTCTTTGATTTATATTATTGCCATGGGCATTCGATTGAGCTTCGATGAAATCAAACTTTCCAGGCTCTTTCTTATCGTCATAAGAATTAATGATAACTGAAATTGGTCTTTGAATCTTTTTCATCGTCGGGGGACCAGACTTTTGAGACGAAAAATACATTGGTGGTGGAACAGGAATTTGTGAAGATGGATTGTTAAGTTGAAATGATTCAATCGATTCCATTTCAGCCAAATCGCCATTTGCTTTTATTGCTTCTTGCATCGCAATACGTCCCATGGTGCCCTTTGGCCTTTCATTGTTTCCCTTGACCAAAGTGTTGTTAGGCGAATCGTAGTCTGGGACTGGTTCAATGAAACTTGCTGGAAGAGAAACCTGTTTCTCGAATTTTTTCTAAAATTTCAACTTGATTAAAAATTGAATTGTTTGAAAATTTATTCTTAGAATCTTACAGCAACGGGTGGCGGAGGTGGAGCTTTCTTTTTCTGTGGTAACTCATTGGTAAGTTTCTTCGGCAGTAGATTTCCATTCATCTCAAGCGATGACTTCGTATCATCAGAAAGCTTTCGAATTGGAGGCACATTCTTTTTCAACAACTGACGTTCCTACAATTAATAAAGAAGCGAATAAAAATGCTTAGTAATTATTAATTAAAGTATCTTGTAGGAAAAGCATTTCCGCGTGAAAAGGTGTCGAAATCAAAATTTTAAGTGATTATTGAAGGCATTTTCTTGTAATTTCAATTACACATTTTTTCACACAAATAAAATATGAATTTCAATGGATTGAAAGTGAAAGAAAAGCTTTTTTGAGGAAAGAGGGAAATTATCATAAAATGTTTACTTTTTTATATTTTTTGCTTTCAACGAGAAATGTGAGAATTTTTCTTTCATTTTTTGAACAAAAAACAAAAAAGTTTTCTGTTGTTATACTGTAGCACGCGTGTAGCGGATATCTTACAGCATAATACGCATGTACACTGAAACTAACTATGAATGATTGACCAACAACTGTTGATCATGAAAGTCAATCATTAGATGGAATCCGCAACATCATGGAGCAATTTAGAAAGATTTAAAAAAACATTATGAGTAATGAAAAGTTATTTATTGGAGAAAATGAACTTGAAAAACTATTAAGAAGAAATCATCAACAATGACTTTGGATTTGATCATTAATTCTAGCATTGTTTAAAGTTGTTAAAAAGACCATTGAAGAATTGAATGCAATTAAAGCTTTATTCCGGCTAGGAACTAACAAACGCAATAATGAATAATGTCTGGTAAATGACATAACAGTCACGTATTGATCTTTCAAGACAATCAGGGGAAAGTCAAAATGCATTCTGTTAGTCAATACATAAAAAAGATGAAGACAACGGAAAGATTATGATATAACTTTTTAATATTCCCCCAATTACGTCATCAAAAAGGGCCGATTTAAACCCGTAAATATTAATTTAAGGCAAATAGAACCGCGAAATCTTTGTATCCGAATAATCACGTTTTGTTTGTGTTTTCTCAATGAAACACTAAAAATATCCACACAACAGTTGATTTTTTTTTTCTTTCATTCGTTTGTTTCAGCAGCTCTTTCAACGTTCCATTAATTATCGATTCACGATAACACTCATTGCATTCCGTGCTGATAACAAATAGAGAGAAATTAAAAGAGAATTTTACAGGTTTCTTGTTGTTTTTGCCCGCAGAAAGACTTTGTTATTCACTCGAGAGGAACTACTGAAACTACCTAGTAAGCAATTGAGGCTGAAATTTGCTTCGAGTTAAAAATTTCTCTAAAAATTTAATCCCTTGAATGACTTTTCATTGAAGTTTCTTTTACCTCGTATGTGCAGATAGATATCACTGGCTTGAACCCTGATGAGCTTTTCATTATGAAATCTTATCGATAATTTGATTTAACTTTTTTATCAACAAATTCTAAGCCGTCAAAGCTAGTTCAAGGTAAGAACTTGAATTTGATGGATAAGCAAATTAAGACGACTTTGGCACAGCACGATAAACACAAAAAACACTCTAAAAACAAATAAAATAAATCCACAAAAAACACTTCCACCTGCTATGTCTACGATGGAAAATAAGCAACTGGAGAAGTGAAAAAAATTGAGCGCGTGAATTTTACTGAGAGAACAATTTTTGGAGCGAAGAGAAGCCGATTGTGCATTCGAATGGCATTTCTAAGTTAGAAATGCATGCAACCAACATATGTTAAGACGGTTTTGGTGATCGACTTATTAGATATGTAAAGCATTTTATATGTTGCGTGGACTAAACTGCATATTTAAACCTCATTTCTGAATTTTTTGTCCGACTTTAAATTGTGTATTTATTAATAGTAAATGTCGTTCGTTAGATAACTGATGATACTTTCAAAATCAACAAAATATTCAAGCTTTTAATATCAACCAAACAAAAGATTTCAGTTCCAATCCTTATTGTATAATTGAAATTACATTACATTGCACTAAATTAAAATTTTATGAATTAAACATTAACAGTTAAATGAAGTTATCTAAAAAATGTTAAGAAAAAAATTATCTCAAAAGAAAGAAGTTGAAGAAATCAACAAAGAGAATAACATTTTTTTATTCATTCCCATGTCTACTAAACGGTTACCAATTTCTTCACACTTTTTTCTGATTGCCAGACAAAATAAAGCATGAACTAATTCTCAAGTGACATCGTTGAAGTCTTTGTTGTTGCTTCGTTACTCTTTCAAATGTGTTTTGTTATAATTTCCAGCAATGAACGCAAATGTAGAAGCTGACAAGTTAATTTATTCATTTATTTTGTGAGAAATTTTCTACGCTCAATAAAAGTTTAGATCGTTTGGTAAATTTCTTTAATAGACAAAACGCTTCTAAAGATGTTTGCAGCTGCGAAAAACATTCCATTTAACGAGTCATAAATTGATATATCAATGTAGCATTGAATGTCAATAAAATAATCAGTATTGAGAGCATAAATTAATTGATTTTCCATGGCCGTTGTTTAAGCTTTAATTTCTAACAAGTTGTTAGATTAATTAACAAGAAATTGATTGCTGTTAAGTGACGTAACAGCATATAAACTCTACACTTTGACTTAATGAATATTCCGAAGTAATTACTGTTCAGACTTAGTAAAACCAACATAAATTTTGCAAAAATTTTATGTTTATGTTGCAAAAGAAAAACTATTTCTTTGTAACATGCAACATAAAAACATAAATTGGCAGGTTGTGAGACTTTTGAGGCAACTAATTAGACAGAACAATGTTTGGTTGCAATTCGCGAGACGAAAGACGATCTCATAGTTTAATGACATTTGAATAAGCGGGAGGAGACATTCTGAAATATTTACGCACAACATGAAGGAGATTAACAGAGTGAGAGAGATGTGGAATGTGGGCACCATTATGTGGAAGCGATTGCGATTACCGTAAGTCAACAACTAATTATTCTCCATCGACTTACCTCTAATTTACGTTCATTATTGTCGAGTGCTGTAATCTTTGTTGTTTCATCATTCGACTGCTGGTATTCGCTTTCAACGTAACCGTTCTTGAACATTTTCTGATGGGCTTTCTTGAATTCATCCATTAGAATATTATGAATGTGGCCGCCCATTATTGTGTTGGCTTTGGTTTTCTTTTGAGTTGACTCAATTTTTTGTGGTACTTCAGATGGTGCCGTCTGGGAATTTTTAAGTTTTTTCTAAAGAATTAATAATTAGTGTTTTTAATGAGAAAACTTTTTGAAAATATTGTGAAGAAAGTAATTTTTTTATTACCTCAGCTCGTCGTTTTAGTTCTTCTGTGATGGCACTACTTAAACTTGACTGTTCCGACGATGATGACGGTTCTTCATTACTGCCATCATTTACTTGATTCGCAAATTGTGGTGGTGGTGCGATGTTCGGAGCAGAACTTCGATGAACTTCAACCGTGACGATCTTTGTTTCATTCTGTCGAGAAACAAAACAAATGTTGGCGATTTTATCTTTTGCTGCTACGTCTTCTGACATGAGTTTTTGGTTTCCAATCTCTTCATAAACTGTGTTGTTGATGTTCTTCACATCGGGAATCATCGTGTTGTTGATCATGGTCGGCCCATCTTCCGACAATTTTATTATTGTCGTGTTTGGATGGTTCTTTGTATTTGTTGGCTTTGTGAAACTTGACGGAATCTTAGGAACATCAACTGGCAATGGTTTGTCTTTTCGTCGATCGCGAAATTTGAAAGTTCCGTTCATGCGATCACTTGACCCCGTCGATTCTTCTCGGACAATGCTTAGTCTTTTCGCTGCTTCGCCCCAACATGGACTTTGGTCGCCAGTTATGCTGCTAGCACTGCTGTTGTAGCCACTAGACTCACCTGGGAAAAGATCCAAACCAACGCATGTTCTCACCGACAATTCAAGTGTTGATGAATTCTTCATAATCGACACAGCTTCACTGAATGCAATGTCACTGAAGTCGACACCATTGCAACTTAGAATTTGATCACCAGGACGTAATCCAGACTCTCTTGCAATTCCATTCTCTTTCGTGAATTGTACGAAAATTCCCGGCTTCCAATCCGGACCTTTACAAATTCTATCGAATTAAAAAAAAATTATAAAACGTCAAATTAAAGTGAAGTTTAAATCAAACTTACCCGCATCCCAACTTTGTTCGTGGTGCAACATTCAAAACGATTCGAATATCTTTTGGTGTTACATCATCGTGTGCGAAAACCATTGACGAATTCAATGGCACAACATGCCATGTTAATGGATCTGAACATTTTCTATTGGGAATATTATAAATGAATTAAAATGAAGAATTGCTATGACAGATTGTAAAATTGAAGAAGTCAATGGAAGCTTGTAATGACTGATGTTGGTTAAACTTTTATGTAGTTAAATATCCTTACATCAACTGGCTTGTGTTCGTGTCGTTATTACTTAATAATGCGATGAGACCAGACTGGTCAGTGACTATAATCATCGCTAAACTCTTTCAAAACGCACATCACAAGCTCAATCAATGTTCAATGGAAATCAAATGCTCGCTACTTACTCTTTAACGGGAATGATTCCAACACCTGAAATTATAAGCAAGAAAAGATGGAACGATCGTTATTTCACAATGCAAAAAACATAAAAACGGATGACGAAAGAAGAAATAAATTGATGTATTTGAACAGTTGAATTAATTGTTAGACGAAATGTACTCAGGTATAACGATCAAATGGAGGGAAAGTTTCCAAGTTAAGTCACATAAATGAGATTTTTTTTCATGAATCATCACATCAATGGAACCTAATCAAGTGCAATCATTCTATGATAAATTTTCGATTTTAAAAATTTGAAAGAAACATTTAAGTTTCATTTATGACTTAACTTATAAATGATCTCAAATTCAGAAGAAAAAAGATTTTAAAAGCACTTCAGGCGCAATCAAGAAAGAGAAAAATAACTTTTTTGTCGAACAACAAGGTAATTTCAATATTTTTCTGCATTATTAAAACATATTTCACGTCGACACGAACAATCACTGCATTAAACTTTTAAGTTCGTGTAAATCATCGAAAAGATTCGCGTCGTTTCTTTTTTTTATGAATCATTTAAATTTCTTGTTTAATGAATGGAGAAGGTAAATGCGGATTTTCTCTTCAACACGTACCACGCGATTGATTCTGAAATTCAAAATCAAAAAAGTTCAACAGTGACAAAGAAAATGTTTCACACCGAACTTAATTAGTGTACGAAATAAATGAACATTGCAGGTGAACTCCAACGATATTACATTCCATGAGTTATTTAATAACAATAGAAATAAAAACCGTCACAAACCGAAACTGATTTCTTCTCTCTCAGCTTATTTGTCATGATTTGAACCGAGAGAATATGATGAAATAGATTTAAATTACATTTCAAAATCGTATCATGATGAAGTAAGCGCGAAAAAGAAACGTTTTCACAGATCACTTTACAACTACTTAAACTAACCTCGGACTTTCAATGTTATTCGATCTTGATTGATGATAAACTGTGAGAGTTCTTTGTGAACTGCATCATCGACTCGATAACTTCCCGTGCTTCCACCTACTCTAATGATTTGATCGCCAACTTGCAAACCTTTCAAATCTGCTTCACTACCCTTGACGACACTTGAGACGAAGAAGCCTGTTCCAAATTCTCGTCCCCCGCGCAATGAGAAGCCGTAGGATGAAAATGGTGGATGACCGAGTGTGAGATTATTGCGATTCCCTGTGTGTGGTCGAACGAGTCGAAGGGTGCGAATTTTTGACATCGCACCATGATGAGAATTTAAATCGCTCGAACTTGAATTTGAGCTATGAAAACTGCTGCAGTCTGTCATTGTGAAATCTGTAACAAGACAAAAAAAGAGACGAAAGTTATTTATTAGTCAGACAGTTAATGAAATCCGGATGAGCTTTGTCGTTGATTAATTTTCCTCTTACAGTAATAAAGCAAAGTTTTGTTTAATTTAAGTGACTAAAAGCAGGTGAAAATGAAGCAATAAAACGAGTCGTTACTCTCTGATTATCATCTTAAGATTCAGATGAAAAACCTTTCCATTGTCAACATTTTCTTTTATAACAATGTTGTTTTTTCAGTTAGCCTGTTCAATCAGTAATCGACGACTTTTGGATTCAGAAATCATTAAGATGAAAGTTAGTCGCTTTCAACTCTTCGAAATGTCTCGTAAGCTAAAGGAAACTTTTTCAATTGATTGAGTTTGTTTTATTATTTATTTCATTTGATTGCGTTGTTGTTTCTGTTGTTTCACTGATCGATCGTTTGGCAGAGTAATGAGACTTTAAATTTTCTCTATCGTACTTTTATGATCTAATAAGTTTACATGCGCTGAAAGTTATTGGAGAATGTCGGGAAATGAATGAAATCAAAAGCTTACGCAAAAATTCTCATTTTTGTTGCGCAAAGACAAATGATCGGTTGTAATAAGTTAGACACAAGTTGTCAATTACGTTGATAAAGTCTAGCGTGTTATTAAACGTGGGTGAATGAAGAAATTGAGAAACAAAGGCCTGAAGAAAGTGTTAGCTTGACACGCATTTCGTTTGAGATTAAATGTTTAGGAAGCAGGAGGAAGAAGAAGATTAAATATTAAATTAGGTTACAACATTAATTTCTTTGAACACTTTTGTTGTTTCGACGAATTATTTTCGCCGATGATGTCGTCGCCCGAACGTGTAACGCTTTTTTCTTTATTCATCAGCCAGTCAGCAACAAAATGTTAATTTGTGTTGCGTCGAATTGGAAATCATTGAACGTCGTTCGCTCTTTTAACTGTTTCAACGCGCTTTTCCGATCACTTTGTTGGAATCTAATTAAAGTCTTTCACTTGATCACTGATCGAAGACCTCCAAAATCTGCTCTTAACATCCAAAGGTATAATTATTCGTCTGTTCAACAACCAAGTCGAGTATCCGTTCAGCACATTCCGATTCTCGTTTCTCTCTTCTCGTTTGTTGCTCTTTTGACCAATTTTTGCTTTTTTTTTGTTTCTGCCGTTGTCGTCGCTTTTACTGCTGCTGTTTTGTTCGTTGTCGCGTGAAATGAAATTCACATTCTGATCGAGTCGATGATTTGTTGTAAGAACCTGTTTGACATAAATGTGATCGCAATTGAACTTTTGTTGGCTTTTGTTATCGTGATGGTGTCAATCGTTGTAATTATTTCGTCACTTTATGATTTGTGGTCTTCGATTTGAAGTTTCTCATAATCCACATAGAATTCTACATGCACACACATCGACAGACAACGCCATATGGTTGATTAAATGTAAAGGGAAAGATATTTGATATTCAAGATGAAGAGAAATGAGAAAAAGAATAAAATTGCGATAAGAAATAAACAGCCGTGAACGAAGTTCTCAAACTTCTGTTTTTTACGGTCTACTCTCGATATGCGATGGGATACGATGCGATGTGAGTCTTTTAATTATAATAATGATGAATATCTAGAATCGAGCTCTTCGAGAGAACACAACACAGCACAGCGAATGATTGAGTTACGCTATGAAATTTGAAATTTGTTGTTTCATTGCTTCATGAACTCACTTTTATTATTATTCCGGTAAATTGTGAATGTGAAAAGAACTAATTAGGGAAGAGAAAGAACCATAAATAAATAAATAAATATTCAAAGTTTCTGTTTCTGTTGAATGACGGAAAATCTTCTTCAAGAGTTCAGCCAATGACCTTAACTTAACTCTCATGACTCATCAAACGCGCTTTTCTTTTTCTTTTCCTCAATTTTTTGCTGCTTCTTGTCTATCGCTGTTGGTTCTTCTTGTGTCTCAACTCATGACTCTCAATANAAGTTTAATAAAAAGAAGAAAGAAAGAAAAAATTGTTGATTAAACGAAGAAAAAAGAAAAAATATTTGCAGATTCATCGGATAATTCAGTCATGTGGATTACGCAAACGATTAATATTTATTAATTATATAAAAAGATCACAGGTAAGAAAATGCTTTTAAGATGGGAAAAAATAAATCAAGCAATGAGCGCGAGTCGATGACTCAAACTTTTATGATTTATTTCGCCGTGCGCTGTTGAATTCGAAATACAAAAGCGGTACCTACGTTGAGCGTCATCAATAATGGAGAAACCCAAAACCTTTCTTCGAAGAACTTCAGAAATGATTTAATAATAAATATTGCCAAACCAAAGCAAATTATTAAAAAGGAAATTTTTGCCTTCGTTGTCTGGTCGCGAGGTAAAAAGTCTACGGACTCTTTAAGATACATAACCGGTTTTGTGTCTCCGGTGGATATTTTCAATGCCTTTGGCTATGAATTTTATAGCTGAAACGACTCATACTGCGAGTACCTATGAAGCTGTAATAAAATGAAATTTTCGCGACTTGAGATCACTCACCGAGAATGCGCCACATTTGGATTAAAACATGAGTTGAACTAAGTTGAAAGCTTTACAAGTTATTAATTAGAAAATAACTTTTGATTTCAATTTCATGTGACGTGATGATTTAATGAATGGCTGAACTTGAATGAACGGAAAGGAATAAAATCGAAGTGGAAATTGTTGAAGTAACTAAACAAGGAAATTTGTCTTTAATTGATCTCTAAACGACTTTTGAGAGACTCACTTCAGTCAATTGACACATGCAGTGAAGAGATAAAGTTTTCATTTCTTGATTCATAAATAAACGTCTCAAGAGAAGAAACATGAATGAGAAAAGCTTTAGAAAAATGATTGTTTCCTGCTTCTTATTACAACATAAATAAAACAACAAAAGTTATTCTTGATAGTCCACCGTTTGAAGCAAACCTTACACAAGCGGTTGAGTCATATTTTTATCCAGCACCTCGAATCACTTTTTATGTCTCATTCGCTTCGTTCGTTGTCCATTTGCCTTTCTTCACATGATTGAAAATTAAAAAGAAATTTCACGTAACTCTCGTTGAATTGAGTTCAGCGCATTGTTTGACGAGAGGCGAATGAAAATATTTTGAATCACCATCAATGAACTCTCAATTCGATTAGACATGAATATAAGAAGTTCACATAGGAAACGAAGAAATTGCGACAAGTGGACAAGAGTTGTAGGAGAACGTTTCAGATCCCAATCTTTGTGTAAAATCAGTATTAGGCTAATGAATAAATAACTAATTCAAACGAAATGTGTCAATAGCTGAAACTGAGATCATTTCCTCTGACCTTTTAAATAATCTTTGGCGTGGGTGTAAACAACTTATTAGCTTTTGAAATGTTTAACAAAATGCTTCTCTTGCTCGTCTCTTAGCTTAAGGCCATTCACGAATGGAGAAAACATTTTTGTCTTAAATTGGGTTACAAGACTTCTGTCCAAAAATTTTTGTTGACTCTTTAATCATTTCGACGAATTATTTTCGCCGTTGATGTCGTCGCCCGAACGTGTAACGCTTTTTTCTTTATTCATCAGCCAGTCAGCAACAAAATGTTAATTTGTGTTGCGTCGAATTGGAAATCATTGAACGTCGTTCGCTCTTTTAACTGTTTCAACGCGCTTTTCCGATCACTTTGAGGGAATCTAATTAAAGTCTTTCACTTGATCACTGATCGAAGACCTCCAAAATCTGCTCTTAACATCCAAAGGTATAATTATTCGTCTGTTCAACAACCAAGTCGAGTATCCGTTCAGCACATTCCGATTCTCGTTTCTCTCTTCTCGTTTGTTGCTCTTTTGACCAATTTTTGCTTTTTTTTGTTTCTGCCGTTGTCGTCGCTTTTACTGCTGCTGTTTTGTTCGTTGTCGCGTGAAATGAAATTCACATTCTGATCGAGTCGATGATTTGTTGTAAGAACCTGTTTGACATAAATGTGATCGCAACTGAACTTGTTGGCTTATGTTATCGTGATGGTGTCAATCGTTGTAATTATTTCGTCACTTTATGATTTGTGGTCTTCGATTTGAAGTTTCTCATAATCCACATAGAATTCTACATGCACACACATCGACAGACAACGCCATATGGTTGATTAAATGTAAAGGGAAAGATATTTGATATTCAAGATGAAGAGAAATGGGAAAAAGAATAAAATTGCGATAAGAAATAAACAGCCGTGAACGAAGTTCTCAAACTTCTGTTTTTTACGGTCTACTCTCGATATGCGATGGGATACGATGCGATGTGAGTCTTTTAATTATAATAATGATGAATATCTAGAATCGAGCTCTTCGAGAGAACACAACACAGCACAGCGAATGATTGAGTTACGCTATGAAATTTGAAATTTGTTGTTTCATTGCTTCATGAACTCACTTTTATTATTATTCCGGTAAATTGTGAATGTGAAAAGAACTAATTAGGGAAGAGAAAGAACCATAAATAAATAAATAAATATTCAAAGTTTCTGTTTCTGTTGAATGACGGAAAATCTTCTTCAAGAGTTCAGCCAATGACCTTAACTTAACTCTCATGACTCATCAAACGCGCTTTTCTTTTTCTTTTCCTCAATTTTTTGCTGCTTCTTGTCTATCGTTGTTCGTTATTCTTGTGTCTCAACTCATGACCCTCAATAAATTGCGAGAACACACAAAACTTCTTGTCTGTTCTTCAACAACGCTTGTTTTCTTTCTGAAACTTAATCACCATGGAAAAACACAAAATTTAACCCTCAGCACTCCTGAAATCCATGGAGATCGCTAATAAAAGTTTTGTAATAAATTGAAAATATTTCCGTTCTGAACAACAATTATTTTAAAACTAAATAATAAAAAGTGTAAGACATTAATTGATTTGAAATATTGCGACCTTCTTTGATTGTTATAAGTAGTGATCTGTTGTGTAATTGAAATGGAAGTTCATATCGTGGGGAGTCAATAACAATAACAGCAAACAACGACCAACAGTTAAGTTTTTTTTAATAACATTTGATTATCACCGCTTCAATCAAGTGGGCTAATCTTTGAACACTTCAGAGCGAACCTGACAAAGCTCAGTTGAAAACGTTTGTAGATTTGCGTAACACTCTTTGTCATATGAGTAAGTGGTTGTTATTATATTTATTTTATATTTTGAATCACCCATACAAAGGCTTCTAGAAGCCAACACAAAACATTATGATGGATGACATTTAATTAAAAGAATAATTTACACAGTTTAAAAATTCGATCACCTGTTTAAGAGTGACGTAATCTATGGAAAGTCCCGTTTCAAAGTTCTTGCATAAAAAACCGTAATTTAACCTTTTCCAAATAAAAAAACCAGTTTCTGCATGCCAATTGAGCTAAGGTAGCAGCAATTTTGTGCTTCTTAACATTTAAAGAAAGATGCAAAATCTCAGCTGAAAAATCTCTTCTTGTAATAATACATGAAAATGTCTAAGCGTTGAGCTCCAATTTTTTTTTTGTTGTGGAATTAAATCATAGAAATTATACGATTTGAAGTCAAAAGGATTAATTCAAATGAGATCAGCGTTATCGCTTAGTAAATCTCTTGTATAAGCTTTAAACGAAACTAGTTCAGTCAATGAATAAATTTACGATTGTTTCATTCTTTTTATCAAATCAACTTTTTTTTTGCAATTCTAATTCGTAGCTGGAAATGAATTTGAAATATTACCAAATATGAGATTTTTATTTACAGATCTTAGATAAATGCTGCTAGAAACACTAGTAGCTGTACTGTGAATGACTTATTATGGAACAAAGTAATTTCATAACGTTCTCTCTAAATGCTTGATTTGTTTCATGGAATGAATGCCCGAAAAATTTTCTAAACTCTTTAAATTAAAAACGGTGAAACATTGAAAAGATATTTAATTGATTTTAATTGCTCTTTGGCAAGAGATAAGACAAACCTCTAAGCTGAAACTTCGTTTTCTAAGACAAAAATCTTGTAACAATAAACATAATTTCATTAAAATGACATTTGAACACTTTCATTCAAGCTTCTGTCATTAAAAGTGAAAACTTTTCATTCGATTAACAAAGCGATTTGGAAAGAAATTCAATAATTGGAGTAGAGCTGGTGGCGATAATTTAATGAAAGGTCCTGAGAAAGCGAAAGTTTCATTTTTTTAACTGCTTGCGGTTCTTTCAGCTTAAAATTTGCGGTTTCCGTTTATTTACCTTTTTTTTTAATTCTTTTTTCTCATTTGTTTTTTGAATGGAGTTTTAGAGATAAAGAAAACATGAAGAGAAGAAGTGGAGATTATAGATTTTAGATTTTATTACTATCTTCACACTATCGATTTTTGTGTTCCACTTGTCGCAATTTCTTCTTTCTTAACAGTTTTTATTTCTCTCTTCCTTCTAAGTCCGAAATGACTCAAAATATTTTCATTCGCCTCTCGTCAAACAATGCGCTGAACTCAATTCAACGAGAGTTACGTGAAATTTCTTTTTAATTTTCAATCATGTGAAGAAAGGCAAATGGACAACGAACGAAGCGAATGAGACATAAAAAGTGATTCGAGGTGCTGGATAAAAATATGACTCAACCGCTTGTGTAAGGTTTGCTTCAAACGGTGGACTATCAAGAATAACTTTTGTTGTTTTATTTATGTTGTAATAAGAAGCAGGAAACAATCATTTTTCTAAAGCTTTTCTCATTCATGTTTCTTTTCTTGAGACGTTTATTTATGAATCAAGAAATGAAAACTTTATCTCTTCACTGCATGTGTCAATTGACTGAAGTGAGTCTCTCAAAAGTCGTTTAGAGATCAATTAAAGACAAATTTCCTTGTTTAGTTACTTCAACAATTTCCACTTCGATTTTATTCCTTTCCGTTCATTCAAGTTCAGCCATTCATTAAATCATCACGTCACATGAAATTGAAATCAAAAGTTATTTTCTAATTAATAACTTGTAAAGCTTTCAACTTAGTTCAACTCATGTTTTAATCCAAATGTGGCGCATTCTCGGTGAATAATCACAACAACATTGCGCAGTTTTCACTTTGTTACAGCCNCTTTATGATTTGTGGTCTTCGATTTGAAGTTTCTCATAATCCACATAGAATTCTACATGCACACACATCGACAGACAACGCCATATGGTTGATTAAATGTAAAGGGAAAGATATTTGATATTCAAGATGAAGAGAAATGGGAAAAAGAATAAAATTGCGATAAGAAATAAACAGCCGTGAACGAAGTTCTCAAACTTCTGTTTTTTACGGTCTACTCTCGATATGCGATGGGATACGATGCGATGTGAGTCTTTTAATTATAATAATGATGAATATCTAGAATCGAGCTCTTCGAGAGAACACAACACAGCACAGCGAATGATTGAGTTACGCTATGAAATTTAAAATTTGTTGTTTCATTGCTTCATGAACTCACTTTTATTATTATTCCGGTAAATTGTGAATGTGAAAAGAACTAATTAGGGAAGAGAAAGAACCATAAATAAATAAATAAATATTCAAAGTTTCTGTTTCTGTTGAATGACGGAAAATCTTCTTCAAGAGTTCAGCCAATGACCTTAACTTAACTCTCATGACTCATCAAACGCGCTTTTCTTTTTCTTTTCCTCAATTTTTTGCTGCTTCTTGTCTATCGCTGTTCGTTATTCTTGTGTCTCAACTCATGACTCTCAATAAATTGCGAGAACACACAAAACTTCTTGTCTGCTCTTCAACAACGCGTTGTTTTCTTTCTGAAACTTAATCACCATGGAAAACACAATCAAAACCAAGATCTGCAGATTCAACAGTGGATGTTTTGTGAAAGCTTCCAATAAACGTTATATTTAAACGTTTCCGTTCTCGCCAGCACTTATATCATCAGAATAAATTATGAAACGAGCGACATGACAGCAGTAAAAGCTTTAAAACTCTCTGCTTTATGCTTTGTTGCCCTTTAAGTTTTTATTTTGAAACCAGTTTCAATATGCGAGTAGACGATAGCAAAACATGTAAGAGGCGAAATAAATCCATAAATATACAATTCATTCCCAGACCTTTAGTTAAGTCATGAACGAATATTAAAGATTCACTCACTCACTCCTTTAAATCAACACATTCCCTAAAAACAATCAAAAATGTTTAAGAGAAGAAAGAAAAGAAAAGAAAATTTAATCGATTTTCAATTGATTTAATGCAAGCAAAAAGTCTTTGTAAAACGACAGTAAAAGATCACATGAAAGCTAATTGAAAATCATTCAATGTTTGCTTCTTTTGTATCTTTTTTTAATAAAGAAGAAAAGAAAATATGAAAGGAGAGAAAAGACAAGAAAAAACTTTTTTTAAATATCTTTTAGAAAGTGAAATTCTTCATTGACTGACGCACACTCGACAATTTATATTTTTGACTTTTAATCATTCACGTGAGTCAAGTTATGTTCATCGTTTATGTCAACGCCTCGAGACTCATCATAAATAGATGTTATAAAAGTTTCACTTCAAAATGACATCAAAATGTTTTATTATCAACAGTGATTAGGTGGATGATGATGTGACGAATCAAATGACGAATGACATTTCAAAAACAATAACTTTTCGATCATGTTTCAAGCTTTAAATTGAAAAGTTATGCAAAAACAGAAATTATAGTGACGACTGTCAAAACGAAATGATAAAATTATGAGCGATGAAGTGTGCTAAGTAAGTAAAGTTCGCAATTTTTCAATTTAAAGTATTTCACGTCTTGCGCAATTCGATTATGTCACCATGACAAATTCAATGCATGCAAAGCTCCAGAGACTTAATTAAGAAATCGAAAAGTGAAACATTTAATGGAGCAGACAGAAGTGTGGACAAACATTTATACAAAAACATTTACTTAAGCTAATGTACACTCGAAACATTTCATTTCTCTTCCATTTTTGAGTTTAATTTAAGAATTATGCAAATTTACTTGAAACTTATGAATATTTATTATGACTTTAATCGCTGCGAAAGTAAGAAAAATGTTGGACAACAAACTGAGCGTGTTACGCGAGTACAACAAAGAGTTTATTTTAAGAACATTTTAAGTTATTGTTAATGAATTCTTAGCATCAGCTTTCAAATATTTCATTCACTTCCGTACATAAACAAACACAACTGAAAGGTAAACTTGAGAAATTCCATTTCGGGAATTCTCTTTCATGTTTGGATATTTATATACGCTTTAACACTTTTCGGCAATTTATTTTCTCTAACTTTGGACATAAATTGATTTTTCAATTAAAGGGAAACATTCGAACTGGTTTATTGATATTTCCTGTGATCGACATTCAAATGCCTGTGGCTATGAATTTTTTAACAACAATTTGTGGCATGTACGAACATGGCTGTAACAAAGTGAAAACTGCGCAATGTTGTTGTGATTATTCACCGAGAATGCGCCACATTTGGATTAAAACATGAGTTGAACTAAGTTGAAAGCTTTACAAGTTATTAATTAGAAAATAACTTTTGATTTCAGTTTCATGTGACGTGATG